AGAGTAATTATATTTATAATTTTTATATTACATATTCATATATATATTTAATTTTAAATTATATAATTATTATTTTTTTGATTTTTTTTATTATTAAATTTGTAAAAATTAATTCTAAAAATATTATTTGTTAAATTTGAGGGTTGGTTGTTCAAACGAGCTTTCGCAGTTACTGCCATCACGTGGTTCATCAAAACCGTATTCACTCACCTACCTACAATCACTCTCTACAAATTCTGCAAACTCAGAGAGAGACGGGGAAGACGACGACGATGAAGAAGAGGATTGCGGAACTAGGCGTGGAGGATTATGTGAAGGCAGGGCTAGCAATGGGGGAGGCGGAGGAAGTTAATCGGCTCATAAGAGGAGCAATTTCGGATGCAGAAGCCAAAACGACGTCGTCGTCGGCGGATGCGAGGGACGTGTGGCGAGAGGTGGTGGATCGGCGAGTTCTGAAGCCGTGGTATCCTCACGAGGTGCACCGGCTGGTTTACTACTCTGTATATGCGGATTGGGATGAGTCCGTCAACGGCCCTCCTCTCTACTGGTTCCCTTCTCTGTAAGTACCCGATACTCGTCTTGTAACTCTATGTGAAAGGATTTAAATCAAAATATATATTAACTCTTCAATATACTATTAAAAAAAAATTCAGATTTGTATCATTCGTATTTGAATATATTATCACGTTTCTTAACTGTGCTGTAGTTCGCTAATTGGTTAAATTACAAGGATGATGAAGTAGTTTTTTGAATAAAAAATTATAGATTAAGAAGATGATGAAAATAATAAGAAGAATACATTAACAAATGGCTAATACTTTTTCTGAAATCTTATTTGAATAAATTAAGTTAGAATATTAAAATATTCTCGGAAATTTTTCTTTTATCAAATCAACTTATAAATTTATGAACAAGTTATAGTTTGTATACTGCAATTTGTACTCTTTTTCATAGCAATTCAACACCCATACTTTTTTCCTAATCATGTATATAAGATCATTAATTTTTAACATATTATGTCATAATTTTTCCAACTTTTTTTCCTTAATTTGATTTTCTTTTTTAATTTTAAACATTTGTAGGATATTTAGAAATTAAAAACATATAGATATCTTTTAGAAAAAAACTAACTAGTTCATGTTTAATGAAGAAAAAAAAAAAACAAGCTATATGTAGTCTTAAGAACTAGCAATTTTATTTGGAACAGTTCAGTTACTGTTTTAATTATATATATATATATATTTTCCGTGATATTGTGAATTAGAATAAAAATTTAATTCTAAAAAATTAGAAATATTTAAGTAAAATACTTTTGGTGATTAAAATATGGGTAGGAAGATAAAATAACTTTGTATCTACAGATAGTTCATCTAAATGGTGTTAATTTTTTAAAAAAGCATTAAGACATTTTTGTGATACATAAATTTAAAAATGGTTAATAAGATTTAATATATTAAAACTATGAATTTGATTAAGTGTACCTCTGGGTAGTGACTGTTGTCTTGAGAACAAAAAGTAAGAAAATTGTGTTTGAGTCAGTCAGTATCTCGTGTGGTTATTTGATTTGTTCTCCTGAAGTCATAGGGGCAGCCGTTAACTGTAATTCTCCATTGTCATCTTAAGTTGTTAAAAGTAGGATTTGCCCCAGGCTGCCTTCCATACAGAGAGGCAATGCTTTCTTTTCCCAAATTTGTTCCAGAGAAATTTGATATGTAACTGTTGACTGGTTAAGAAGATCGAGGAAAGGAATTTTTTTGGAAACGAACATTAAATTAGTCCTAGGTATATCCTAATGCAGATTATGCATGTCCGCTAGTTGATAGGCGGTTGACTACGGATTAGGAAAAAGAAGAATGTGGTTACTAATGCAGAAGCAGTGTTCAGGGTGATGACAAAAATGTTGGGTGATTATTATGGCTTAGGATAGTTTTGGAGGACTAAAGGATCAGATGGGAATGGCCTATAAGATTATTTATGGGCGCAAGTCAAATGTTTACATTGCTCACCTATGCAATATGATAGAGTGAGACACATTGAAATAGATCCACACATAATCATGGAAAAATTGGATAATGAATTGATTTGTACTTTACATCTCAACTAATGGTCAATTTGCATATGTGCTAACAAAAGGACTCAGTAGTGTGATGTTCTAAGGACTTATCTCCAAGCTGAGAATGAAAAATATATATTCACCAGCTTGAAGGGGAATATCGAGAAATCGCTCATCGACTATCTTAATATTAGAAATAAATCTTCCTAAAATGAGATACTGGTTAGGGAATTCTACTCACATGGAGTTTTGATTTGATTTTTTGCAATCATTTTTCTATTTTTTTCCCTCTTTAAAAGCTACATACCCATGCATATGGTACTTCTCAATGTACAA